ATATTTACCCTTGGCAGTATTAATAGCACTTATGCTAATGGGGTCGAGCAGATGACTGAAACAAATAATTCAAATTGAACTTAACAGGGTTAAGATTCCCTGGCCGGAGGCAAACCAGCTGGCTATTTGCAAGCGTGGCCGAGGATTTGAACTCGGAACTACCGTAAACAAATCCAGCTGGCGGTCAGGGCGGGACTTGAACTCAGGACCTCCGAATTACAAGTCCAGCGTTCTAATCGCTCAGCCACTCTGCGATATATAATGCATATGTCTTAGATGCTGTAAAGATGCTTTATAACAAGGAGTCCAGAGCAATAGATAACCGACGTTTAATGTACATGCTTACTACACCGATCTGACAACCTCCTGCTCACACATCACAATACAATCCCATATACGGTAGCAACACTATATAGATATATGTAAAGGAGTATCAGTCAAGAACGTAGTCAGCAAACGTGCTCGCGCAGGCTGGGGGTAGCGTTTCGCAGGCGCAACATTGAGCCGCGACGGAAGACCATCACCGTAGGAGTCCTCTTGCCCTTGACGGGAGGTCTTGAAGTCGAGCACGCTCTTAAAGAACGAAGAGTTTCTCGTAACAGGGACGCCTTCAGCATTTTCTGCAGTGATCTTAGACCCTTTGATCTTGATGACAGTCCGCGGTATCGGGTTATACGGTGTGTCACCTTTGTTCTTTGTCTCGTCTCTCTTGACCAGTACAATGTCGCCTTCTTTGATGGCCGACGGCTTAACGTACTGCTTGTTGTCCGCGTGCTCCTTCATTTTAGCCTTCGCTGCTTGGTCACGCTACCTGACAGCAGCGTCTGAGCAGGGTGTCGTCACCTCAGGTAGCTTTGTCTTCATTAGCCTGCCAAACAGTGCTATCATCGGAGCAACTCTTGTAGTGCTGTGCGGCGTAGCGCAGTAGTTCCTCAGCATTTTGTTTAACTCTTGCTTGTAGTTCCTGTGCTCCGACTTTGCTGTCTTTATAACCTTTTTTACGGTGCGCACAAATCTTTCTACTTCTCCGTTTGCCGGTGCCCACTTTGGAGTCACTTTTCGATGCTTGAAGCCAAGGTCATCTGCAAATGCTGTAAACTCCTTGCTGTTGAACGGGGGCCCATTATCAGATTTCACTACCCCAGGGACTCCAGACTCTGAGAACACTTTGTCGAGCTTTGGTATGACCGTTGTCGCGGCGGTTGATTTCACAGTTTTCACCACTGGGTTTCTGGAGTATTCGTCAGTAGTCAGAAGGAGATACTCTTTGTTTGGGATCTCAGTAAAGTCAATACTTATTTCTTTCCAAGGCGCTGCTGGGAGTGGCGACATCTGCAAGGGTTCTCTCTTGCACTCAGGAGTAGCAATCAGGCAGGCTTCGCATGACTTCACCTTGCTTTCAACCAGCTTATCTATGTTTACTGATTTCTTTCCAAGGCGCTGCTGGGAGTGGCGACATCTGCAAGGGTTCTCTCTTGCACTCAGGAGTAGCAATCAGGCAGGCTTCGCATGACTTCACCTTGCTTTCAACCAGCTTATCAATGTGCGGGAACCAAACTTTCTCTCATAACAGTGATTTAGTCTTCACGAGCCCTTGGTGGCCTACGTGTGCGACGTTGATCACGTGGTCTTGTAGAGTCTTCCGGACGACTATGCGGGTTCCACGTGGAATAAGGTTGCCAGACGCCCTTACGGTAAGTCATCCTTCACCCTCTCGAGAAGGCGAAACTCAATGGCATTGACGCAGGGACGTCTGATTTCATGGTGCCAACTGCCTTTCACAATAGCTTCTGCTACAGCTTGCAAAGTTGCATCATCCTGAGTGGCTGTCTCTATTTCTTGTGTCTTCAAGGCTTTGGGAGTAGAGGAGGTTGCGATGTAGCTGACGTGCTCCTCTGCGACTTTCTGTTGCCGGCTCGTCTCAGCCCCAAGCTTGGCTGGGTGACGCAATACATAGTCTGCGGGATTAACTTCTCCTCTTCGATACTTGACTGTGATCTGGTACGGCTGAAGTCGTAGAGCCCATCTCCCGATTCTTGCAGGCGGCTTGGAACTCGGATTGCCTAGATAGACGCTAGGGGCTTGTGATCAGTGTAGACTGTGACCGGTTTCCAGTAAATGTACAGGTGTAAATGTTCACAAGCCCAAACTACAGCGGGGGCTTCGCGCTCTGTTTGGCTGTACCGCTGCTCGGTTGCTGTAAGAGAGCGACTTACGTGGGTGATAACATGACTGTCCCCAGTTTTCGGGTCCACTTGAGAGACGATGGCTTCCAAGCCGACTGGACTTGCTTCAACAGATTTGTCCGTATCCTTCTCTGGGTCAAAGTAGGCAGTGACGGGTGCGCTTACAAGTGCTTCTTTTAATTGGCTGACTGCATGGTCATGTTCTTCCGTCCAACACCACGGTTGGTCCTTGTGGGTGAGCTTGCGCAGGGGCTCTGTCTTGGTAGCGTAGTCAGGGATGAACCTTGAACAGTAGTTTGTCAGCCCCAGATGGC